CCTTGTCCACTGCAGGCCACATTTCCAGGGGAATCCTGGCAGTTGTGCTCTGCTAGAGCTCTCCGCAGGGAAGGGGACGCGTCGGTGGCCGCCGCGCGGGCGGGAGCGCGACCTACCCAGCTCCCCGGCAGCCTTGATGTCGATGTTGTCGTAGCCGCTGCCTATCCGAACAATGACCCGCAAGGCCTTGAACTTCTCCAGGTCCTCGCGGGTGAGGGTGATGGTGTGGTACATCATGGCGCCCACGGCCTCGTTCAGCACCTGCAGGACAGCATGCACGGTCAGGCGCTACTGGCCCAGACACCGCTCGGCGGGGAATCAGGGCTCCCCACAAGCTACCTCCATGCCTCAGAAACCCCAAATTATCCAAATGCTGCAGGATTGGCTCACAAAAATATCTGTCTCCCTTCCCCTGCAGTCAGGTAGTATCTGTAGTGATGCAAAGACTGGCACTGATGTTAGTTCCCATTCCCAGATCCCAGAGCTCTGATCACCTCAGAGCTCACTGGATTTACCTTAGTGGGCACCAAGAGCTTTGGTGGAACAAGCGTGGGCAGGTGGTTGAGCTTCCAGGTAGAAACTGCCCTCAGGAGCAGGGATCTGCTCATAGGGACCTGAACTGTGCAGGGCCATGGAAAGAGCAGCTGGGGGACACGTGATGGACTGGGGACATATGGTGATGGGCTGGGCCACGATGATGGGCTGGGGATGTGGTGAAGGGTTGTGGACATGGTGATGGGTTGTGGACATGTGTGATGGGTTGTGGACATGTGTGATGGGTTGTGGACATGGTGATGGGCTGGGGGACACGGTGATGGGCTGGGGACATGTGTGATGGGCTGGGGATGTAGTGATGCCTTGGCAGGACAAGGACACCCACGCTGCTTAAAACGCTCAAATAAGATATTGCCCTGGGAAAACAGCTGTGAAGCGACAAGGCCATTTATTTTCCCCAAGTGACACCTGGCTTTCCAAACAGCTCCCCTGCTCTGTGACCTGCCGCGGTTCCGTGGATGGTGGCTGCTGGAATGTGAAACGCTGTGGGGTTTTCCCTTGGAAAGAGCGCACACAGGGAAGCGCCGCGCGCAGAGCAGCGTCCCGCTCGCCCGGCGCTGCCCTCACCTTCTCGTGGATCTCCTGGGTCGACTGCGCGTCGCAGAACGCCACGGTGGCCAGGTCCTTCAGGATGGGCATCTCCACGGTGCAGTCCCTGCCGTCGAGCAGAGCCACGAGGGGCCGGGGGTGCATGGGGCCGTTCATGATCTGCGGGCGGATGCCTGCGGGCACACGGAGCAGCTCGAGGTGAGATCGGGCCCCACACGCTCTGTGGAGCACACAGACGGAGCRGAGCGCCGCAGCGACACGGGTGACATGGGGACAACCCGCACGGCCCAGACGGGAAGTTCCCTTTGCTCCAACCTCAGCCAGGGAAGTCCCTTGGGCTGGGCAGGGAGTCTGGGAGTGGAGGGCCGTGGTCACCAAAGCCGTCATGGTCGGAGGTGCCAACGGGGCGGCTGCCCCTGCGCCGTGTCCGGCGGGTGCACGCGGCAAACCCGGGCTGGCAGAACTGCCTCCGAGCTCCTCCTGCCGCGGATCTGTCCTGCATGCGGCCGCGTGGGAGTGATGCCAGGGATTGGGAGAAATGCCAGGGATCGGAAAGTCATCAAGCACCAGGCCCTGCCACCCCAAATCCAATGAAACATCCCAGCCCTTAACCCTTTGGGCTGCCTACCTGCCCTCCGCACCACGGAATCACTCTGGGAAATGAGGCAAAAGGGCAGACTTTTTTCCAAGTGTTTTCTGCCTGCCAGCACCTTCTCAGCAGCGGTTTGGCAGGGTGCATTTAAGGAAGACAGCAGGAAGAGTTTATGGGAAAAGAAATAGGGAAGGAGAGAGGAACAGGAGGGATGGCTGTGCCGGGACAGCTTCATGAGCCCTGGTGCCAGCAGGAAGGAAAGGCGAAGCCAGGCGCCCCATTCCTAGCGCCGGTGCCATGGGAAAGGCTGCAAGACGCAGGCTCCGGCCGTGCACGAGTGCCAGGGAGCATGGAGCTGCCGCCGGGAGCACCAGGCAGGCTGCGCCCGCACAGGGCCACGCGGCTGCTCCTGCCCCTTTGCTCCCTCCCCGTCCATGCCCGGCACCTCTCCCTTCCTCCTGCTGTCCCAGCCGGGCGCAGGCTGCGCCATGGCTGGGTGCTCGCTCTGCTCTGCTCCATCTCGCACCCGCCGCCTTCTGCTCGCGGCTTCGCGCTGCTTCCCAGGTGCCCAGAGCAGCCACAGGAACTTGGGAAGCTCTGAGCATCCTGCCAGGAAGCCACGGACCTCAGCCCTGCAAGGCCCTGGAGGGGTGCTGGAGCAATGGGGTGCCCTTAAAAGCAGCAAACTCCGGAGAGGCAGTGGGAAGAACAACCTGAGGTGGAATCCCCCCCAGTCCACCGGGCTGTGCCGGGCCAGCAGGACGCGGTGCAGAGGAGATGAGCCAGAAAACCCGGAGAGCTTCCTGCATCAGGCACGACAGCCCCAAGCTGGGCTTATAAATAATCCACGTTTCCAAGGGCAGTGCTTTCGAGAGGTACGGGATCCTGCTGGGAAAAAGCTGCAACGCTGCCGTTCCAGCCACACTGCGGGATGTACCGGAGCTGCCCAGTGCACCTGGAGGCACCCGCGGCCCCCGGCGCCCTCCTCCGAGCCCTCCGGCTCCCGGGATCGTGGCGAGCGCCGACCAGCACTTTTCCAAACCACGGGCTCCACGGGCTCCAGCGCCAGCCGGGGCTGCCCATCCCGGGGCACAAACTGTGTCCTCACGGAGAGCGGGGAGACCCCGGCTCCTCGGCGCTGCCCGACTGCTGCTCCTCCCAACCTCGCTGGGCACAGGGCGCCCTGAGTCTGAATGCCCAAAGGGCAGACGCTTTTCCAAGACGACCCTTCCAAGGCTCCAGCGCTGCCGCCGGATCAGGACTGCTGTCCAGGGATCCTGCTGGCAGGCTGTCCTGCACCCCAACAGCCCCGGGATACCCCTCTGCTCCCGACAACCTCCTGCGTCCCAGGGCTCAGAGYAGGGGAGCCGCGCGGAGCAGGAGCTGGACCAAGGACACGTCTCCATGCTCCCCAGCCACACAACACCCGCAGCTCCTGCTTTCACCTCCCTGTTTCTCACTTCATCTCCCGTTTTCCCCCGCTTTCTTTCCCCATCCCGTGCTGCTCTCCGTCCCAGAGCCCTCCCAGGGATCCCACCACTCTTCGAAGCTAGAATTAAGGTTTTGAGGAGAACCATTCTGCCCAGAGCAAAAGGAGGGCAAAATGCAGGCGTAACAAGCCGGGAAGGGCTGGCGGAGCGCCGGGAGCTGCTGAATACCTGCAAATCCCACTCATTTCCCCAAGATAAACACACTCAGGTCCTTGCAGCCCTGCACGGGAACTGAATAAGGAAAACAACCCTCAACGCCAACATTCAAAAGCACTTAGCTGCAACGTTCTCGCTCTTAAGGCTGGTTTACTTCTACARCTAACGCTCTACAAGTATAACCTGGAGTTTTATCACAGTTGCCTTGGGGAAAAAATAGGCACCCRTTGCATTCCCACTGACATTTAAAATAGTTTGGGGTGTAAAGATACAGTGGGCAAAGCCTGGATGGGGCGGCAGCTCCGCCAGCCCTGCCGCATCCCCTCTGCCATGGCATCGAGTCAGGCCCAGGGCCCTCCCTTCCTGCCAAAGCCTCTTTTCTTGCAGTCTTTTCCTCCTCCTTGTCCTGCTTCCATGTCTCCTGGTCCCAGGGTCATCGATTCGGAGTCCAAGCGGATCAGGGAATATCGAAGCGACCCGGCCTTGGTGGAAGCCCAGCCTCGGTGCTGGCTCTCCCGGGAGGGATACCTGGGAATTGAGTTTATTCTCCAGAAAATCAGTTGACARCATTTGCTCCTGCCTCATGCCAGGCCTGCACAGAGTCTCCTAGAGAAGCTTTTCCACCCAATTCCCAAACCTCAGACTATTAGGATGCCAACTCATTTAGGCAATTCWTTTTTATGGGAAGAAGGAGCTGGCCAGGGGACAGAACTGCTCTCCTGGTTTAATCCTCTGAATTTGCACCTTTGTAGAGGGTCAGGATCTGCGCAATGACAATTACTGCMTATCAAGAGCATTTTGAAGCTGCAAAACACTGTCCTAACTAGCTCAGAAAGAGACTAAACGCATCCTCATCTACTTCCACAGATTCTCAGGCACACGAAAGAGCACATCTTTGATTCCACAAGTAAAAAAATAAGTTCATGTATATAGACTATGTGTAGTTCATGCATAGGTTTTTACCAGCAAAAGAAAGAACAAAAGCTACATTTTTGGAATTCAGGGGTATTAAATCATTCCATTTGTTTAAATGAAATAATTTCAACATTTTTGTGAATTGCTTTTATAGGCAGTTCTTTCAAAAATCCATTAACTCTCTTGGAAATTAAAGGAATTTTGGTTTTAGAGTCGTGTCCAGTTGTGGACATTGTGAAGGAGAGCACGTGGTCTTGCCATGTGCATGTTATTCTAACCASACGAGCTGCTCTAACACAAGCTCTCTCCTTACAAACCCTGCCCAGCCCCAGCGCTCCAAGCTCGGGAAGGACAACAGAAGCTGCTCAGGGATTAACTTCCACCCACGTCCCTTTTTGGGGTTTCTGGCTGCTCCACGTTAGTGCCCTGTGTACYGCACAACCGCAGGTCTGAGGGCTGTGCTCGTGTTTCTCTGGGTAGGGTTGTGCACTGCAGCCCCATCCTCTGCTCTTCTCCTCGACTCACAACCACCACCTACGTAGCTCTGATGGATCACCAGCTCGAATGACTGTAGACTTGAATGTGTCCCAAAGACCCAAAAGGTCTCCAGGGAAAACCTGAATGACTGGACAGACCCAAAGCCTGTAGACTTGGGTCCAGGAACAACCCTGGGCAACGGGAAGGACCAAAACGTGCCTGCTTGGTGCCATCCCTAACTCTGTCCCCAACCACAACCATTCACTCTCAGGCCCCACGATGGTTTGTGGGCTGAAAGCAAGACCTCCATGGAGAGGTTGATTGCAGGGATCTCTCTGACGATTCCCCGGCCGGATCCCGGCCGGCTCTGCTCTCACAGACGACCTCTTATCCTCGGGCCGGCTCCGGCTCCCTCTTCCCTTCTCCAGCGCTAGCTCCAAGGTTCTCGCTTGGGTCAACAGCAAACAAGCACCTTCTCGTTTATGGAAACCATATTCAACATCCACATGTTAGACAATTCCTTCAATAATGGAGCTTATGGTCCCCTTAATTATCATCAGCGTTTGAAACAGCAGCACAGAAAACCCCCAMCCCATGTAATAACAGAAAAAAAATTATGCTGGAAGAGAGCTATTTAAGTGATGATCGTCCAGAAACATCTTGGCTAACCTGCTACTTCTTGAGCAAAGAAGAGAAAACCCCATCCACTTTCTGGCCTTAGTAATAAGACAAAAATGAACATTGRCAGAGCAAACAAAACCATCTACAAATACAAATCAACCTTTTCTCCTTGTGAGCCAGCGTAGCCCAAGGGATAACTCCACGACCATGCTCCTGATGCATGTATACAGCACATTTCATCTTCATTAATCTGTACAACACWCTGGCCCTGTCTGATTTTCGGATTCCAAGCACCAGCAGCTCTTCGCCCGCTGCCCCAGCTCCTCTGCAGGTTCTCCCAGCACGGCTGCCCCACTGYCCAGCCCTGCAGCAGCAGCTGGGGGGCTGCACTGGCTCCCAAGGAGAAAAGGGTGGGATTCGGGAATACGCTGGGTTCAGCGGCCCCCTTCTCRCTGCCGCCAGCTCTCCATTCGGATGCACTCGTCTTCCCAAATCAATAGGAATTAAAGAGGTGAGAGCAAGACACTGGAATAAAGCACTAAGGCACAAAYCCTTATTTTCCCTCTGTCCTGAACTGGAGTCCATAATCTCTGCATTTCAGGGGTCTTCTCCTGCGGATGTGAAGGCAGCTGAGCCGTAGCCGGGGGACAACCCTTACACACGTCCTCAGGGCACCGCGCAGAGCACTGAATTCCTGGACAAAAAACACCCTTTAAAGGATCTTAACATATAACAGGCAGAAAATGTCTTCATTGTTACATCTCTTCACTGTCACAGACAAGAAAGTCAATTCTGATGTAGGTAAGCACCGGCTACAGATTTATCTAATCATGTATACTGAAGACAGTGAGAATATTTCAGATTTGCCCACAGTCACAAAGCTATAAATCACCCTGAACTGTATCACTGTAGTAAGCCATTT